ATGCCTGCTAAATGCGCATCTCATATTAATAGTTATTTTGCATTAATTCGTAACGGACTTGTGCTTAACGGTTTTTTTGAAAATTCAAATTTTCACTTACGAATATTCATAAAAAAATTACATGTCAATTTTTTTGTCTTACCAGAATATCTTTAGCTGCTCAAATTTACGGTATAATTAATAATTTGTAATATTAATTAAACTATAATGAATCATATAAATGACTTTAGAGCATCACAAGTATAATATTTAATACAAATCAAATTTTATATCATTGACATTGGATTTTTTCCCATATAAAAAAGTTCTACATAAATTGTACTATAATTAAGCATTTTTGTGTTTCCAAAGTGTTAAAATATTGTATTGTCACCGGGAATACGTGTGTATACAAAATTTGAGCTCGATTGGAGCAATAGAAGTGGTCGAAAAATCGATTGCAAGATTTGAACGTGACATACAAAGAAACCAACAGAGCAACTCAATAAAAAGCGTGTAATAAAAATAAGCAACACTTCATGGTTGATGATCACAATGACTTTAATATTGTAGCTGTAGTGGATTTGCTAGCGTGAATCCTCTTCAGGTTTTTTCGTTTTTTGTGTGTGCTGTATTCATTTTTTTTATAAGATGAATTTTTCGACCATAAGGTCGAAGTATTATGCAGAAAAAAATTGCCCATCGTATGAATAAAATAATTTTTTATGACCATACAAGAAGGTGTCCATCGTAATGGAACCAATTACTGATTGTGTAAGAATGAAAAATGATTTGATGTAAAAAGAAAAGTAAAAGTATAGCATGGATGTGCTCCTATTGTTGTGTCGTGTGGTAATCTAAATTGATCATTAACAATAGTGACGATCTTATTTTGCTGACATGACATGTTGATGCAATGATTTATAAAGCGTATTTTGCATGATCAAGACAGAAGCGAGGAAGTTATCGTAAGCGGATGGCTGTCTTTGATGACGTTGAGGGAAATTTTTGTTGGATGAAATTCTTTGCTGAGTTGAAGGTTTTTAAATTGAATTAATGCACATAAATTTGCTAAATGTTCTGGAAACTTACATAAATTTTGTGTCTGATGGGCAGACTATTATTAAATTCAGGAGTGGAAACTTGGAATTCTATAAACTAATTAATTTAATTAATCTAAACAAATTTTTATAAGCCTTTGTTATTGACACACCCTAAAAAAAAACTAATTAAGAAAACAATTTTAAGCCGTTCCATATACTTTATTCTCAAGTTGTAAATGACCCCAACCAGAACAGCATTATTAATTGTAATTGTTATGCAAAAGAAGAAAATGAAACTCAAGCTCAAAAAGCGTGCACATAAAGTTCAAAGGAAGTAATGAACTGGAAGTGAAAATTTCGCAAATGCAAGTACCGGGACGCAATGTTAATGCTGCACATATTTTTTTTTGTACCTGTTGCAACTGAATTTGTAGGTCATCAGGTGCTCCAACTTGTTCCATTTCCATTTCATTTGTGCAGTTTCACAATTGAATGAAAAAAAAAACGTAGAAAAAAAAATTAAATTTCCAATTGCAAAAATGTGCTTCAATTGACTGACACTTTACCGAACCATAAATTGACATCAACACGATAACTTACTTTTGCTGCTGGCTGGCTGCTCGACTGAATGAATGAATGAATGGATAATGTGTGTGCATGTGTGTACGAGAAGTAAAGTAAGTGAAATAATTGATGGGGCTCGTGCACTAATTATAGTGAGGCATAATTAGATTGTTAAATGGTAGTGCATAGCTGCTGTATGCTGCCACTATGAGAGGGAATAAGAAGTTTTGAGAAATGAGTCTGGATTTTTTTGGTGATTATTCAATGCAATTTTGGAGGTCCTAATAGCTACCAATCTTGTAACGTCTTTCATGAATCAGAAAGTATGGGATGCATCTAATTTACAACAAGTTTTTATGATGTCATTTCATCTATCCTTCAAATATCAAAATAACCAAATGATTTCTTCATTTTTTAATTTGCAATATTTACCAAAGGCTCCAGACTTAAGAAATTAACAGTCGCTTTAGACTAAAAGTGCTAAATAAAATCACAGATATCCGCTAAAATTCAACAAAAAATTATTTGCCTTACTGATTCAAATTTAATTTTGATAAATGAGTAAGAATATATTAATTTTGTTTCTGACATTTACGTCTTAGTGAGTCAAAAATTTGAGTTTACAGCATAAGAAGAAAACATGACTTGGCATGCGTTGAAAAAAAAACAAAAAACTTTCCACTACAAGCGCCTAATTCAATAATGTTTGTTAATAAAGACAAAGAGGCAATCCATAACTCCATGAAAGAGTGATAACAACTTCAATTTGCGTTTTGGGTTAATTCAATTATTACGTGTTTCATTTAGGAAAGGTCTAAGATTTTGTGCCAGTTCAGACAAAAGAATGTATGAGAATTATGTGACAAAGGGGGGGGGGGGGGGGTGAAATCCAATTTTTTATTAACTTCATAAGCAAATGATTTCAATGGATTCGAAGGAAATGTGCAAAAAAATAAAATTGAGACACATTTAATCGTCCATATAAAGAGACTAGAGCACAGTAATTTACCTCCATACCCATATCTCGCCAATATTTGCTCTACCAAAGTCTAATTTTTCAATCGCCATAATGATAGCTAATTGTTTCTTATGATTTATAACAAATACCGCCGTACAAAGAAAAAAAAACTTTTCTCCATATATATTTCCTGTATGTTACGCCTCGACGCCAATCACATATGTAGCTGTGGTAAATTTTTCTTCTCTCGTTATTATTCATAAGTTACTTTTTTTTGCTTTTAAATCGTTTCATAATCAAATAATGAAAAAATGATTTCTTTATGAATTTATTTCTACCAGAAATTATCTCATCATCAGCATCTTCATTGATTTCTTCCATTGTTGCGCACTGCCATTCATAAATAAATCATTTACCAATTTTTTTTTTCATTCGCTTATTTCGACAAGTAAGGAGCCAATTTTCCTACCCACAGTTAATATTCGGTAGCATATCAGATATTAAATCGTTTACTCTTTTTTACCCACCATGTCAATTGTTGATGTCGATTCTGTTGTCTTTTTTTTGTGTGTCACAAAGTCGTGACTTGAAAAAAGAATTATGCCGAATCGAGGTCAAATGTTTTATTATTTTCATTCCATCCCAGCAATATTTTTTAAACTCTTTATTATTTTGCTGTTTGTTACTGCTAAACACTAGTGTTTTTGCAGCTCTTTTATTGTTTCGCGAACACAATGCTCAACGAGCACTCTTGCAGATCACAATAATCATACACATATTTATTGCTGTATTTTTTCGTTTAACTGAATTTATTAAAAATTTGAATTTATTAGAATTGTCACTTTGGGGACTTAAAATTTCGATTGACTTTAGTTCTAATCTAGATTAAGTATTCAGCGTTCATTGAACAAAGGAAATAAGTTCTAATCTAGATAAAGTATTCAGCGTTAATTGAACAAAGGAAATTAGTTCTAATCTATATTAAGTATTCAGCGTTAATTGAACAAAGGAAATTAGTTCTAATCTAGATAAAGTATTCAGCGTTCATTGAACAAAGGAAATAAGTTCTAATCTAGATTAAGTATTCAGCGTTCATTGAACAAAGGAAATAAGTTCTAATCTAGATAAAGTATTCAGCGTTCATTGAACAAAGGAAATAAGTTCTAATCTAGATTAAGTATTCAGCGTTCATTGAACAAAGGAAATAAGTTCTAATCTAGATTAAGTTTTCAGCGTTCATTGAACAAAGGAAATTAGTTCTAATCTAGATTAAGTATTCAGCGTTCATTGAACAAAAGAAATAAGTTCTAATCTAGATAAAGTATTCAGCGTTCATTGAACAAAGGAAATAAGTTCTAATCTAGATAAAGTATTCAGCGTTCATTGAACAAAGGAAATAAGTTCTAATCTAGATTAAGTATTCAGCGTTCATTGAACAAAGGAAATAAGTTCTAATCTATATTAAGTATTCAGCGTTCATTGAACAAAGGAAATAAGTTCTAATCTAGATAAAGTATTCAGCGTTCATTGAACAAAGGAAATAAGTTCTAATCTAGATTAAGTATTCAGCGTTCATTGAACAAAGGAAATAAGTTCTAATCTAGATTAAGTATTCAGCGTTCATTGAACAAAGGAAATAAGTTCTAATCAAGATAAAGTATTCAGCGTTCATTGAACAAAGGAAATTAGTTCTAATCTAGATAAAGTATTCAGCGTTAATTGAACAAAGAAACTTTAGTTCTAATCTTTTGCGAAACATAAAAAATGATTGAGATCTTTGATAAATTAATTAAACAAAATATGCATATCGTTTTTATCTTATCTCAGATCCAGATTCTGGATGCAAATTAGACGTGTGACATTAGTGGTTATGAGCTTTTATTGTGGAAATTCGAATTTTTTTGCTTGATGTCAAATTACAACGCAAACTTAAAACCATCAATTTTGACCCTAAAAAAATCATCAAGTAACAGCTCAAGCTGTAAACATTCATAATCACTTAAATAAATAACCTAAACAATCACCTAATAATCAAATTAAATAACTCAAATTCCCCCACGATCTCATTTAAGAAAAAAAAAAACACAACGAAAAATGAAAAGCTTCTCAATTATCTCATAAATTTCTTACTCATTTTTTTGTCGAGCGAGCGGAATCAACCTTAGGCTTACGAGATGGATAATGAATAGTTAGATGTAAAATAAATGGCGTGAAGCACAATTTTTTTTTGGACATTCAATATTAGACAAGATACATAAAGAGACTGTTTTTGTATATTTTATGAACATGTTCTGTGAAGGTCTTCTAATTTCTTTTCCATGAAGTTCGCAGTATGTGCGGCTTATTTTCCTTTGTTGAGCGTCAAATATTTAAATTATGAGAAACATTCTCAAACTAATCACATGAATATATTTAAGATTATTTATTTTTTTCTTTTGTTCTGTTCCAATTTACAGTACAGCCTACGTCAGATGGATTTATCACTGCTATCACAATTGTGGGCGTTAAATGAGTCAATACAAGAATTTCGTACAATTATGCAAGACCAAGAAAATTATTCTCAACAGTCACCGTCACCATCAGACCTAAACTCGCTGGCATCAGATGATGATGAAGACAATATGATAAGTAATGATGTTGTAGTCAATGGCAACAAAATTACATTAATTGATATACCGAAGAGTGATAGAACAAATGTTAAACGACGAATGAACATTTCGCCCCCTGCACCTCCACTTTCGTCAAAGTGCTGAGACGGAAAATACAAAAACTTTTATTATTTAATTGAGTCGATTTGTGTATAAATAAAATTATTGAAGATTTTTTTGTGATTTTTAGATTTATGGCTAGCAATTTCTCATGTGAAAATCGACAAGAGATTGTTATGCATGTACGTTTTCGTTGTATTTACCTAGATAAATAAAGACATTAAAAATTGAAACAATTGACTTTTTTTTATTCGAATTGAAAAAATTTTTTTACAGTTTTTTATAATGGCTGATGAGATTTAAACAATGGAAAATAAAAATTGCTATTTAAAAGTTTAATCACGACAACGTTAATAAGTTTAACGGTTTTTAAAAATTTGAATTGAAAAGCTTTGTATTTTGAGCTTTTGATGAACTTTCGGTAAGTTTTTGGTGATCATTAAGAATAAAAGCTTAGCTGTGGTGAAAATACTCACCACTTTATTACTGAGGATTTAAATGCTAGATTTAATTTAAAAAAATTAAATCTTTAGAGATTTTAAAGTTTTATGTCTAGCCAAAGCTTTCGAACATTGTAGCTTCTTTAAGATATTATAAGCTATTATTTCAGAAGGTCTTTTAAAATATCTGTCTGTGTAAGCAGATGATTGTTCTATATTTTGGCTTAAAACTTGTTAAGACATGCTTTTGAGTTTGTTGCTATTATTTAGATATTTTCAATATTATATAGAGATTAAAATTTTGAGTTTCAGGATTGATTCCTTTTTAGACTAAGATTAAGTTCCAGTGGTGGTGAAACTTTTTTTCTCGCGGCACTCAAGTTTTTTGTGGTTAAATTTATTTTTTTCATAAAAATTTGATTTTTTATTTTTTGTGGAGCACATGAGTTCTTCAAATAATGGTTTGAGTACCACTGTTCTTGTAAGAAAGAATAGTAACTCTAAAAAATTATGGCCATGCTTAAAAGTTTTTTTTTGAAATTCCAGCAAGTTAAAGCTTTTGTTTTCAGAGTAGAGTGAAATGTAAGGTTTCGAGTCATATTTAGGTGAATCTGCCAGTACAGGTGTTAGGCATGTATGGCGTAAGTGGTTCTCCAACAGATTAGATATCTTTAACCCTCTTTTTAGAGGACGTGGATTCGATTCCCATCAGAGACGATCTCTCAATTGTTTTATAAAACTATTGTCGATATGACAAGGATTTGCACAATGCTCACCATATTACAGAGCGTATTAGTAGTAGATATGTAGGAAGCAATGTGGACTCTAGCTCTGCCATCAAATGTCAAACTATCTTATGGATCCAAAACTTTCTCATTCATAAGAATGATTTTTGGTATGCTCAAATTTTGCAAAATTCTTTTAAATAAATCATTTATTTAATTTTTCAAAAACAAAAATCTAAAACTGAAATCAAAAAATCCTGAAAATTTTAAAACATAAAAAAAATCAATAAAGTTTAATTTTTCCAAAATTATTTTCTCTGTATTTTCATCTTCTCTCGTTCATAAAAATCATTTCATTTTGTCATCTTTATATAAATGTTTCATTCTTTTTCATTTCACATAATTTATAATCCTCTAATAATTAAAAATATAAAAATTCGTTCTATTATTTTAAATCTAATTTACAAAATAATAAAAAAAAGGATTTGTTTTAAATACTACTGATAAATTACTATTCATTTATAGATCTTATTTTTTTTTTCTCATATATTATTATAAATTATTTAATAGGAAGAGCTTAAAAATGGCATCAATTAATACTTAAATTCACTTTTTTTGTTTGAGAAAATTGGAATTGAATTTGGGTTAAGTCTCTAACTACAATGAGATCCTTAATGGGATCTTTAATGAGATCCAATTAACCCAAGTCCATCGTTAATACTTTATAATACTGCTAAGGCTTTGTCAATTCTTCCTTAATATTTTTTAAGAAATAAATTAAGTGTCATATTTAAGATTAAATTAATGATATTATTTTTTGATTGATGACAAATGATTGAAAATTTTTCAAAAAGGAACATTTTCATGGGATTAATGGATTTTTTTGGCAAATTTTTTATGATTTTAGGAAATTTTGTCATCTCGGAAATGTATTTTACTTCTAAGTCTATCATCTCGGAACTCAAATTTTGGCAAATTTTTATCGTCTCGGAACGTTTTTTAGTCTTTTTTCATCATTTCGGAATTTCAAAAATTTGGAATCTCGGAAAAATTCCATTATCTCGGTAAATTTTATAAAATTAAATTGTTAAGAACTGTTGATTAATTTTTAAAAATAAATTAAAAATGTAACAGTCTCCTTTTTGAAAAATAATGTGCGCATAAGTTTCTTCAATTATGAGAAAAAATTTTTGATTAAAAATTTCAATGAAGGCTCATGAAATAAGCTCAATATTCAGTTCTTATTGGCTTCTTTTTGTCTTAAAATTAATATTATATTACATAGTTTAATTTTCTACAAAAACTGGGATCAATTGAATAAAAATGTTGACATTATCTACAAACTAAATTGTACAGGAACTTCTTTTTTATAGAATTTTAAAGTAATTCTTAAGCACTTTTTTTTCATTCTTCTTCTCGCGACAAAAAACTATTTACAAAATAATCTTCTTTTTTTGAGATTTATATTAAAAATAATAATAATAAAAATTAAAAAGAAATCTTAAAAAAAAACTTAAAATCTGCTTATTAATTTACTATCACAGATTTCATTTTTTTGCTCTATCTAAAGAAACTAATAGAAACCTAACATATTTCATGCTTCTTTATACACATTAAGCTGCCGATTATAATTATGTGCAATTTCAAATTGCTAATTAAATAAGTGCATTGTCATAAGTAACTTACAGGAAAGTTTGTTTATATAATTAAGTAATCTAAGTTCAAGACTTGAAGTCAGTCTTACACGATCATATTATATAAAATAATAATTAAAATACTTGGAATGGCGCAAATTTGCGTTCGACGCTCCCCCTTCTCACAACTCAAAGTTTTGAGATTCAGGAATTGAAAAAAATATAAAAAAATCTACAATTTCAAAGAATCAATTCAGCCAACAGCTTAAAGTGCAACAGTCGTCGACGTTGTTGTTGTTCTAGTTCTTTGTCGTCGTCGGTTATTTTTATTCTTATTATTGCGGACCTGTGCTGGATTCTTTGATGTTCTTACAATGTGCGTTCTTTTCGTTACTGCCACTTCATTCTGCTGCTCAATTTTACGTCCATTTTGATTTCTCTTATTTCCCTTACGTGCTCTTTTTGTTCCCTGTTGTTTATTCTTCTTGATTGACTTCAATTTCGGATATGTTACTTGCTTTTCAACATAATTTCTTGCACTTTGTTGCTCAATTCGTTTCAATAACTTTTGAATGTAGTCTTGGAAGCGTCCCTTTGTGTATGTTCGATGAAGAAACATTGCTGTGAGGTTTTGAAATTGGACCAGTTCCTTCATTTCACGTTTTTTGATCCAATCTTTTGGGCCGATTTTTAGCGACGATGTTGCATTGACGAAGTGTTCGATATCACAAAGTAAATGTTTTGCGTCTCTCAAGATTTTTCCGAGCTCTTCTGACATTGTGTTATTATTGTGTGCCTCGTCATCAATCTTTTGGCTTTTGTGGAGGAGGATGAAAGTTGCGACATATTTCTGGAGATCAAAATGCCATTGACGGTGGTTACCCTATTAGAATAAAAAATAAAAATGAAATTATTATAAGACTTTAAATTCTTATTTGAGTTAAAATTCCAATTGGAATAAGACACAACAAGACAAGAGGATAAGAAGAATCCAATTTGACCCAAAATAATAATCATAATAAAATTCTTTTAATAACAAATCTTAAAAAATCGAAACTATAAATTTGATTAAATGCTTTTAATGGCGAGCGGCAATGAATTATAAATCCGTTATGATGCTCTGGCAAAAGGAGACTTTATGAGAGTTTGCCTTTTTTTTGGTCGTCGTCTTCTTATTCCTTAAACTTTTTGCAAAACTGACCGTCTAATCTTACAAAAGAAAGATATTTTTTGCCGCTGGGCTTGCACAAGATTGTTACCTTTGTGAAGACTTATAATTCATCAAGCTACAAAAATCACAAATCATCCCCGTTTGATGGATATTCTGATCCCAAAGTAGATCGAATGTTTTTTTTGTGCATATCAAAAAAAAAGGCATCAAAGAAGAAAAAATTCCCATAAAGCAATTTTTTTCCATAATGAATGACTTTTCATCCGAGTAAAGTAAAGGAATCAAGACAATCAAGTGTGTGTATATGCAAAAGGAACCTTCGGACGCCGCGTCGCAAGACACTCTTTTTTTTCTCAATGAACTTTGTTATGAATGCAAAAAAATAAGCCGAGGAATGAGTGAGAGAGGGAGATAATTATGCCTTCACTACGATCCAATTTCTTGATGATGTTATTTTTTTTTTTGGGAAATATATTCACACAGGCGATCCGCGAGAACGCCTTCCGGGCATATTTTTTGGTAACGATGTTGGCTACAGTCAATTTACTTCGTGTATATTCATTCGAAAAAGATTTACTAAGTCTCTATGAATGAATCCAGTTGCAAGTGCAATTCACGATCTTTTTTTTTTGCTACCCGAAATATATCCATTGCTGCCCACTCGTGAATGCATCATAAATGCGTTGCTGCCTGAAGCATAATTTGGTATTGTATGGGCCACTATGGGAACGATCGTTAAACTTAGTTTTTTTTTGTGCTGCGCAATTCTTACTTCATTCTTACTTTTATTATTGGATATTATGTTGTTGTGCGAGGGAGAGATGTAAAGTTTGAAGCATGAGAATGAAAGGTTCAATGTGCCTTTTTTATCAAAAAAAAAACATTCAGAATTTATGAATATTTATGGATTATGGCGATCGATTTAGTGACTGCTGAAATTTTTAACTCCTGTTTGTGGTGGAGTGAATTTTGAAGGGAACTTGAGGGTGATTGTGGCTGTTTGGATTGGCTGAGGTTGAAATATTCATGAAAAAAATGCGCTTAAGCCACACCAAAAAACCCACCAACTTCACTAAAGCCTTTATTTTATTATTGTTATTGGCAATATTTAGTAATGCGATAAAATATTAATGTTGAAAATTATAATTTAATAACATATACATGCCATAACATATTGTTGTTAAGCATATTTATTGGTGCGGCAACAGCAGTCATCCACCTCCGTTTCAGTATCGAAAATTTGCGGTGATTATTTTATCCTTTTAATCTTGTTCCATATACATTTCAAGTTGGTGCTGTCGTCGGATAACAATAATGTGCGCAGGCAGTAAATTGCAAGCTATTAAATGATCTCTCATGATAATTTTATTATTTTTTTTTTATTTTGCGTAATTAAATTGGAACACCATACAGAGCTGCCTATTATCAGTATGTATCGATCAAAATTGCAATACTTTTTTTTTCCCATCGGGCCTCTTATTCTATACGATATACAAGTGTGTGAGCGCCTATGATCTCCGATACTCGTCAATAAGATAAAAATGGGGAAAAAAATGTTGTGTTTGAATTTTTTTTTTATTCACGCTCTCCTTTTCGTGATAGTTTTTGCGGGCAATTTCAGTGTTGCGTAATTTGAATTTCAATTAAGATTGCAAATATATCGCACTAAGTAAATGAGAGAGATTTAGTGATGTGTACATGATGCGCCAGTCAACAGCAGCCTTTCGATTGCAATAATAAAAATTTGCATATATAAAAAAAATTATGAAAGAAAGTCGCCTGAAAGCACAGCAAGAAAAAAATTCATTCACAATATAAATTGCGGGACATTCGAACTTTATGCGCATCCGCCGTCGGGACAATTGGTTGAATGAAGGCTGTGGCACAAAAAATATGATTATGTTCGCTCTCACCCAGATATTGACGAGGAGTTCGAGCGATCGATTGGAAAAAAAATTTAAAATTTATGAAACCTTTCCGATTTACTCAATTTTAAACATAAATCAATCCATCTGGCGAATTAATCACCATAATTTTTTATTATATAAAAAAATTACGTTTTTTTCATTCTCAAAAGTATCGCTTTTCGAGGACCTTTCTGTTAGGCGTTTAAACTGTTTTTGGATTTATTGAGACGGGATTCTAGTCCTATCATGTCTTATTCTTATTGCCTATCCCCAAAAGTATATAAAAATTTAACTTACCGTTGGCTTTTCTGGAATGAATTTATAATTATGTGCATTGAAGGTTTCCCAAGCTTTGTAATTTGTTGAGTTGATTCTTTCATTATCTCTAAGGTCAATTTCAATAATTTCAGCTGTTAATTTGATCTGTGAAAACAAAGACAATGTCTGTTAAAGAAAAATAAAAAAAATAAATAATTGTGTCAAAAATTTTCACAATTAATAGCTCAACTTACCCCATTGACACTTGTAAGGATATCAGGATTTGTAAAGGCTGAATCCATTATACTTTCGGAGCTGCATGGATTTGTCCACATTTCAACGTCCTTGTTTGTAAATCCAATTTTTCTATGTTCTGGATTTTTTCTAATTTGTTTTGTCTCTTGGCTGCCTGATTGCTGAGAACTGTCAGCAAGTGGTGCTGCCACTGTTGAACTTGTGAGGTATGATACTATCAAGATGCAGGCAATGATTTTGGCAACTGGGAGGTAAAAATAATTTTTTAAGGTTAGTTTAAAACAAATATTTTAAAATGTAAGAAATTATTAAAGTTGCATAAAAAGTCATAAAAAATGCACATAAAAGTGCATAAAAATCTCAAAAATATTTCCAGTCTAGTGAGTGAAATTTTCCACGCTCAATTTGTAAATTTCCAAAATTTTATTGCCACCAATAACAATTATTCTCGCACATTTAAAACAATAGCATTATTTTGGGCAAATAAATCCATTCCTAATTGATTTATCGCGTCAATCAAAATTTACAACTTCTTTTTCCTGGATATACCATTCCTTCCAAATTCTACTTTATCGCAATTTTACAACGCATTGCTTTAAATTTCCTTTTCAATTCACATTATATCAACGGCGATACGAATTAAAAAGCCGAAAAAAATATAAAACATATTCATTGGTCTAGTGACGTTGTGATGACGAATTTACGTGATGACTAATTGTAAAGTTTCTTTTCATTCATATTGATTCACATTGACAATTCATTTTTTTAGTAGTTTGATGAAAGTTTGTAAATTATTTTGTGGAATTTTGATTAATTTGACGAGCTTGAACGTCATACAGAACTGCCAATTAAGCGAGCTCATGTCATCATCATATGATCAAGTTTGTGTTACTTTAGTGTATTAAATGTGAGTAGAGATGTTCTTGTATCGGAATTTAATCAATTAGCACAGAACTGAAGTTGATTTGAAATTAAATTATTTTTGTTTGTTAATTTGCGACTTCCTTTATATTTATTAAATTGCCAATATCATTTTTTTGAAATGCAAGAATTTTGAAACTATTTAAGCAACAAGTCTTTGCAGAACCATCAAAATATTTTTTTTAAAAAATCCACCACAAAAGTCCTTCAATATGAATCACTTAACAGGCAATAAACCAATAATTTAGCTTCAAAATCCACTCAATCATCAATAAATTAAAAGTTTTAAAGTCGAACCTTTGACAGGTTCCGTCGGGTGAAAGGTAAAAAGAGCAATGAACGTAAAAAAAATTCTTTTCCACAAGAATAACTTTGACACATAATTCATTAAGATATTAAACCGCATGTATATGCGTTGGACGATTTATTGATGGTCAATTTCACAACACAATATTGCCACCTGAGTGATTTAAAGCTATGCGGATTAATTGAGAAAGTTCTGGCACTTTATTAATTTTTTCAAGCAACTTTTTTGAGATTTAGATAATTAATTTCTAATTACCACGCACTTCTCTGCATTTTGTTTGGTATTTCCTTCGTTTCGGTAAAAATGATTTAATCCAAAAATTATTTTCAATGCAGTGCTGACAATTTTCGCTATCGTTATGATTTTTCATATGCATAAGTCTCGATTTATTTATTTTTTATATTTTTTTTTTTTTCACGAACAAAATTGCACAATTTGCAATTTCACAAAATTTTTCAATAATTTCTTTCACTGATTTTTTTTTCCTTTTAAATTTCTTTTGCAATTTCACAATCGATAAACTTTTATTTTTTTGTTATAAAATTATTATTTAATTTTGCTCTTCACACTTCTTCTTATAACAAATTATTTTAAAAAAAGGAATAAGATAAAATAAGACACGTCCGTTCACGTTGACTTTTCGTCAGTTTATGATCTGCTTTGTAGTTTTTTTTTCTTGTGTAAAAGACGAAGCAAAAAAAAATAAAATTGTCCAGCTTCAGAGTGAGAATACAGTTGACGATAAAATAAGGAAAAAAATAACTTTTGAGCTTTATATTCTCTCTCACTAATACATTGACAACCGGCGTTTCTTGCTCAATATCATTTACACGAGTCATGTATTCGGATATGAATGAGAAATAAGAGAATCGTGTGATGCACAACCCGAGAGAGCGAGAAAAGTGATTATTTTGGGCCGTACATTTTAAAATACACAAAATTTAATTTTTTACGGATTTTCCCGATTTTCTCACGGTAACACATTGCAATGTGCAAACATTTGTGCTGTGTGTCGTTATGAATCGACAACAAAAAATCAAATTAGATTTTTCCGCTTTATGTAAATTTTGTCTCTCACGGAACAAACAATTTTTCATCTTACATCCGATCGTTTCGAGAGTCACAGAAAAAAAAACCGACGTCATCGAGAGACAGCAATTGAGCTCAAAGTTTAAATAGTTTTTTTTTTTTCATTTTCGCATGAAAAAACGTGAATCAAACGATTTTCGCAGAATTTGGGATTCCCTCGTTGCGCTGACTCACGCATTTGTATGCTTTTCAATTGTTTTGGATGCTTTTATGTGTAAAATATTCTCTTCTCTTCTGGTCACGCTTCTCACATACATAAATTGCCGAAAAACTATTTTTCTCGATAATATTTGAATGAATCATTTTTTCATCCACATTGTGTGCATGACAAATTTTTTTTATATTCATTGACTAAGTGCACAAGAGTCACAAAAAAATTTTTATTCATTCATAAATGTTGTTTTTACTGTGGTTGTAGTATGGAGTGGATTTGTCATTCATCAGGCAATTAATGTGTATTTTTTTCTCTTCGTGGAATTGTGGAATTTATTGCAGGAATTTTATTATATTTTTTTTGTGATATTTACAATCAATAAGATTTTTGTAGATATTTATTATCTTAACTTGCAAAGTGTTTAAAAAATATTTTTCATTTTTTTAAATCAATTTTCAAATTTTTTTTCATTTAAGTTTTTTTCAATTTCTGATTTTTTCAATATTGTTCTTCATTAATTTATGATTTTTTTAAATTCTTAGATCGTTTTAAATCTGTCCAATTTACACATATTTTCTCACAAAAAAATCTTAATTATTTGTCTTTGAATTTAAAATTTATCAAATCTAATGCACCTCAAAAAATTCTTCTTAATCACAGCCTTAATTTTCACACAAAAATTTGAATTGCTTTAAAAATTTCACCGAATGGCACCGGACATGACAGTATCATCAGCAATTAACACTATTAATTCCAATGTGTGTCAACAAATGTAAGAATTATTTAGTAGACTTGACGTCACATGACTTTCTGACACTCAAGTCATGTGTATAAATCAAAGTAAATATCACCTGTTGCACGTTCAAGCAGGAAAAAAAATTCATTCATAAAAAACTTTTTTTTTGTGAAATTCGTGGGTGGAATGTAGTAACTTTTCATTGGTCCACAATAACAAAAGAAATATTACGAGAGAATTAATTTTTGAAATTGAGTCGATAACTTAATAAAAAAAGTTGAAGATAACAAGTCACATAGACAGAGAGAAAAGAGACGGCAAAGCTATAGTAAAATAAATATTTTCTCTTTCAATTTTTCAATGTGATTCACCGTAAATACCTCGCGGCAATCCGTAACACGATAAAAATAGACACGTTTAACGTAATTTTATGAAACTTCCGATTTGTCTGTTTTTATTTATTTTTTTTTGTGTAAAACAGTTAAAGATTTTTTTTTGGAACAGCTAGAAAGAATCAATTTGTTCGCATCAAATAACAAAAGATGTGTAGGCAGTCGAGACAGATTTTTGATGTTTTTAATTAATAATCAATTCCGATTCATGACTCACAAATCTTGGTTTGCATAGGAACGGAGAGACAAAAAAAGTGTCATGTACAAGCGTGTGATGATACATCAGAAAGAAAAAAATAATATTCATAAAGACGCCAGTTGGAATCGTCGAAAAATAATTTATATGTTGCTATCTGTCATTAGCATAAATAGAAGTGTGGAGCCTTATGCGACAATAAATATACAAAGGATTTTGTTTGTTTTAAATATAAATTACAATCACACGAGTAACTTGAGATTTGAAGTACAAAAAAAGTGTGAGACGAGACCCGAGCTACGAAGGAATGTGATGTCGAGTGACATTTCGAAAAAGGAAATTTTTCGCATTTTTCTGTGTCTGAAAATTCAGTCTGTGTGGGTGATTTTCTTTATCTTGTGACTTGTGGGTGGCGAAAATAGAAAATGATTTTTTTTGAGATGATTGAATTAATATTTTATTAAGTGTAGGAATAATCCAGACATTAATGAGGCTCATTAAGGATAATTAATGATTTTTTGTGTGAATTAAAATAGTTTTCATTCAGAATTTTGGAGATTTTGTCTTGATTAGTAACATGATTACTTTCCAAAAAATGACAAAAATTGCATGTGAAATCAAATTTAATCCAAACATTGTAATCTTTTTTTTATTGTTATACGAAAAGACCAGAATAATGACAAATTTATTTCGTTATTTTTGAAATGTGTAGGTGATCGTAATTAGGTAACTAGTTACCTGTACGATTTTGTAATGAAATGAAATAATTTAATTTTGTTTTAATAGGTTAAGATATGTTGATATTTAATTTTAATTGATAAAATGTTAAAATTTGAGATATTTTTATATTTTCGAGAGTCTAAATTGAATTATTGTAAAAATTAAAACTTTTAATGTCCAAAAAAATTGTTCAAAATTAAAATAATATTTTTGAAATTACTTTATAATTATCTTTTAAAGGTTTTACAATTTTAAAACATTTTCAATTTTTATTCATTTTATGTTTTTTTATTTAAATTTTTTAAAATTAAACTTTATTTATATAAATTATTTTAAAATCAAATATAAAATCTAAAAACTAATTTTTGAATTTATATTTAAATTTTAGATTTTTTTTGAATTTAAAGACTTTTTAAAAATCATTAAAAATAATCTAATGACAGATAAAACCACTTGTAATTGCCAAACCAAAAAGAAGAAAAAAAAATCCCAGAAAATATTCGATCCGACAAAGAAAATTTGTTATCAGGCAACCAAAAAGAAATATTGCTGAATTTTAATTTTCACGTGTTTTGAATGCCTTACGATCTTATCTCAACACAATATAATAAAACAATTAAAAAAATTGAAATTCTTAAAGAGGTTTTAAATTTCACCATAATAATAATTTATTTTTAAGTATATGTCATCGGTTAGTTCTCGTTACAGCGAGAGATCTAATACGTAAGGCACAAAAGACGAGAGAAAGAAAGAAGAAAGTGAAATTATGTAAATAATGATGAGACAAAATATTTGCAATATGAGACTATACGAAACTGAGCAAGTGTGATTGTATCACACACGTAATTAAACTTCAATATCAGCTGTTGCATCGTATGAAGTAAAAGTTGTAACTTGTTGATTTTCATGGTCAACAGCGATGCATTTACATGGACTAAAATAATAATTTTTTTTTCAAAGAAATGAAAATGCGGTTCGAGTAATGAATATATAAAAAATTGGAAAATTTTATGATCGGTAGTAAAAAGCAAGAGGCCTGAGGCTTGCGTCACTCAGATAAACAAACACTGAATATTATGATTCACTCGCTAAATTTTGCCACTTAATAGTCTACGATTCCCAAAATTAAAATCACTTCCCTGTTTACAGATTCGCCTTTCAAGTGGCTTGAAAATTCTGAGAATTAAAATCGTTTTTCGTGCATTATTCGCTGCGTTATAAGATCTGCGAGATCTAGGGAATTTATTGTGTTGTTTTTAATTTAACGGCTTTAAATTGAGTCTATCGAACTTTTTTTGGTGATTTTTTGGACATAATCTAATCTTGCGGTGATAAGTTGAGTGGACATGAAGTGTCAAAAATTGTTAAGCTTATCATCTGTGATTTTAATGTAATCCAAGTAGATATTTGGATGATTTGTATAACTTAAAACACAAAAGTCATCACCGAAACCATTCAAATTGTCCAATTGTCGCCAATGCATTTTTTGGCAATAAAATTTCACTTTAAGAATATTTTTGACTCATCCGAAAATGACACAACTTTAATATTTCTACAATTTCCCATTTGTATCCCCTAACGGCTTTTCCACTTACCATTCATTGTATTTTTCTGCTCCATCGCTGTCTGGTTTTTCAAAACTGATAAATAATTAAATCACTTTCGATGAGATTTTGAGTTCTTTTTTTATGTTTGGGAAAATTTTCTGATGATTTTCCTTCGATTTTTCTTTAATTGATCACTTTAATAATTTTTTAATGAGTTTTTCAATTTGGGTTTTCCAATTCTTTTTTGACGTATTTTGAATCTTTCTCGGATTTCACTGGGATTTAAGTAATTCACAATATATGATTTTTTTTCACATAATAATCAATTTTTTTAATAAATAAATTATTCATAAATTAATCCATTGATCTGGTGCCTTTCTGTAATTTTATCCACGAGATATTTTGTATCGCACAAATAAAGCATGTAAAATAATTATTATTTTTTTTTCACTTAGAATTATTAGATATTTATTCTTTGGCATTTGATTATTGACTTGAAAAATTCATAATAAACCCAACTTTTATATACTAAAGCAGTAGAGTGAAAAGAAAACATCGCTCGGCATTAAGCAAAAGGCTCCGCATGGTTCGCATTATTAATATGTGTGATACACAATATATCGTATACACAAACTCATTTAAGAGCGTC